GTTTTGAACCGGAAAAAACCGGCCGGTTCACCGGCCAGACCAGTTTTTTTTTTTTTTTTCTTTTTGCAATTTCTTCGCCCAAAAATCTCAGCCCACAAGGGTTCGAACCCAAGACCTCTTGTTACCAAAGTTAAGTCCCTAATCATCTCAACTAAAGTGTCTTTGTGTCATAAGTTCACTTTAATAACTTTTAATATTATATTATTAACAAATGTTTAAAGATTTCTTTTCATTTTAAGAACTTTAAAAAATACTCCGAATATTTGATATAATTATTAAAACTCAGAATTATTGATATAATTGATATAATTACAAATATTATGCAAAGATTTCATTTCAATGTTATTCATATTAGATAATTTATTTGAAAAAAAATAAAATCAACTATTTGTTTATAAAATGTTTAATATTGTTTTTTAAATATGTAAGTTTTATTGTTAAACTTAGTGACATAACTGAAGTAAATTATTATAGATTTGGTCAAATGTCATACATTATTTACTCTAAAATTTATAAATAAGAGAGAGAGTGTGTGTGTGTCTATATATATTAGTATGCAAAGATTTCATTTCAGTGTTTTTCATATTAGATAATTTATTTGAAAAAAAGTAAAATCAACTCTTTTATAAAATGTTTAATATTGTTTTTTAAATATGTAAGTTTTATTGTTAAACTTAGTGACATAACTGAAGTAAATTATTATTGATTTGGGCAAATGTTATACATTATTTGCTCTAAGTATTTATAAAGAGAGAGAGTGTGTCTATATATATATATGTATATGTATATGTATATGTATATGTGTATATATATATATATGTATGTATATATATATATATATATATATATATATATATATATATATATATATATATATATATATATATATATAAAATTTTAAAAATGCTTAAACCACCGGTTCGACCAGTTGAACCACTGGTTCGACCAGTAAACCAGTGAACCAGTACCGAGACCGGTTCGGTCACCGGTCCAGTTCTGAAAACTATGGTTGGTAGTATGATAAAAAAATAATAACAATGTAATATGCCAGTGTAACGAGTTAACAGTTGATCCAATAGAGAAAACAGGATAGAGAGTAGAGAGTGTGGATAGGAGATGAAGGGATTTATTAGGGCGATGGGACACTCGTGAGATATATTACTCATACACACACACACACACCACACATCCACCTCGAGTCAAATACTCAGGTCTGCTCCAACAGTCACAGCCTAGGAGATGAAGAAGAGCCACAGAGTACAGTCAAGTCGGACAAAACTAGAATTTTTTTTAAGATAGAAATATTAGAATCTTGTTTGTAAAATGAAACTGCATGTTTTTTTCCAGTGTATAGAGTGCGAGTATTAAAAAAAGAACAATGCTAGGAGTACACCAAAAAGTGTATCCCAAATATACACCACTCTCTTTTCCACTACACATTTTTATTTGATTTTTATTTACTCATTTTTTTAAATTTTTTTGCCTTTTTTAATGGACAAGGAGGGGATGGGGGACATATGAGGTTTGGTGTACTCCTATCATTTTTCTTAAAAAAAAGAGAGAAAACTGCAAACAAATCCAAGGAAGATACCCAAATTGGGGTACACCAAGAAAGATATCAAAATTGCACACCAAAACTATGTAATAATATTTGATGGTCCATATGGATACAAAAAGGGAAATTTACAACAATAGGAGTAAAAGATGGTGGTTTTCCCTAAATAGGAGTGGTCCTATTTGACTACACGTTTGGGGTAGAAAATTACTTAAATAACCTCTTTATCCTATCTTTGCCCTTCTAATATCATGCGCATGATCTCATGCGGCTTTCTTTCCATTCTTATTTTTAATTTTCTTTACATTTTTAAAGATAATATCAAACATTTAATTCTCCTATTTTTTAGGCTACAATTTCTACATATTCTACCTTATTAAGTGTCACTCCTCCACTCCATTGCCAATCTCTAAACACATCGTACTCAACAAGTTCTTCCTCCCTATCCGTTTTTTTCGACACTATGCATGTTTTCTTCGTTATTGGCATCCATATGTAATGAATAATGTCCTTATACTTGGATTAAAAAAATAATGTCCTTATACCCATAAGTGGAATTTGCACTAAATATAACTAAAATATAAATCATTTTTTGATATAAGACTTAAATTTTTTTATTCTCTAAATATGACTAAATAATGACTAGTGAAAAAAATAATGTCCAAGTAATGCTGGACATTTAGTTGAATAATAACTAATAGATAATGACCAATGATCTTACATTAGTAAATTAAAACATATGTTCATATATTGAGAAAGTCATTATGTTTTTGTCCTATTTCTGTAAATTACCCAAAACCTATTCATGAAGACCTACACATAAAATCAACTTTTATTCATGAACAAATTTATTCTATTAGTCATTATTCAACTAAATGTTCAGCATCATTGGATTTTTCCAATGTAGGACTTGCACTTTTTTATTCCCTAAATATGACTTAATAATGACTAATGAGAAGAATAATGTCTAAGTGATGCTGGATATTTAGTTGAATAATGACTAATAGATAATGACCAATAATCCTACATTGGAAATAAAAACATATGGTCCTAAATTGAGAAAGTCATTATGTTTTAGTTCTATTCTTTTTTTACTTCATTATTATTTTAATAAATTTTGTTATGTCTTTGAGTTTAAATGTTTGCTTAAATGTCTTTGATTCTAAATATTTTTGGCAATAGTGAAATTTGTACTGAATAGTATGTCATTTCTTAATTTAGGACTTAAACTTTTTTATTCTCCAAATAAGAATCAATAATGTCTTAGTGGGAAGAATAATGTCCAGTAATGATGATCATTTACTTGAATAATGACTAAAAAATAATGACCAAAGATTCTAGGAATTAAAAACATATGATCCTATATTGGGAAAGTCGATCATTATCAGTAGTAAATCAGTGTTTAATGCTTTTTGCATAGAAAAATATAAACACACACAAATTGGGTCAAATTAAAAAATGAAAATATAAACAAAGAACATTAAGAAAAGACGTACTAGAATTAAGTCTAATGCAATTGGAAGACATTATGATCTTGAGTAATTCTTTCTTTACGGTGAAAAAACACTTTTTTTGTCCAGAGATTATCTTCTTGTTACATGTTACATTGTTTAACTAAAGTTGGTTTTAGTTCACTTTTTCAAAAAAATGGTGTAAAATTTAAAAAAAAAGTATATACATAAAAATTATATCAAAGATTCTACAAAACTGTGGCAAAAATGTTTTAAAAACAAGAAATGATATTATTATATTATTTTAAAGGAAATAAAAATTGGCAAAGCACTAAGCAAAATTTGTGAAGAAGTAGAACAAAGCAATGCCGAGGAGGAAAAATGGTAAAGCAAAATCTCATGAGTGGAGATAAATTAGGGGTTGTGGAGTAATACATTTTTTTCCTAAACTATAGGCATAAATAATGGCTAATTAATCCATAATTATGAAAATAAAATATTTAGAGATAAGAACTAAAAAAACTGCAAAGGGGCGTTGGTTTTATCCACACAAGTGGTCGCCTATAATTTAGGGGTAGGAAAGGAATTTTTTTTTAAAATACTCTTAGAAAAGGAAAAAAACATTATTAGTCCTTTATAGGGAAAACTTGTATCTTTTAGTCTTATACACAACAAATTTTACATACAAAAATGCTAGTGTGATCAAAAAAATTTGTATTGTGTACAATTTAAGATACAAATTTTAATGTAGAAAGAACTTAATTGTTCAAATTAAGAGAAATGCGTACACTAAATGGTATATCCCAAGTGTGTGTTATGGAGGCTGGCGGTGTACACTTCAATTGCACTAAAAGTGTACTCCAAACATTTTTCTTAAATTAAACTAAATATGAATTAATTTAATGTTATACTCCCTTTGTCCCAAAATACTTGTCACACTTGCTTTTTCAACAGTCGCGAGAATTTTCGTTTATTTCTACGTTTTCATTGGTTATTTTATAAAATAAAATATTCTTGACACCTCTTATTTTGAAGAACTTTTCATGTAGTTTTTTTATATCTAAATTTTATTTTTTATTTCTATACCAATATGTAAATAAAATAAATTAAAAAAACTTGATATTTTACCTCGAGAATACAAGTGGCAAATATTTAGGGATGAGGGAGTACTAAGTATTAAATGTGTGAGTTAAAACATGGCGAAAAAATATGACATGTTGGTGCACACCCGCGGTGTCCAAATGGGGTACAAATAGCTTTATTCCAACTTTTATTCTTATTACATTTACTTACAATCAGATCAAATCAGATCATATCAGACACGATCAAAGCTTATTCCAATCAAATTAGAATCGTTCAAATCATGTGAAGAAAACATGACCTATATTACCTTCATTTTTATTGCAGCATTTAACAAATGAAACTTTATTGTATTGTGTATTTCATTATCTGCTCCATATTTAATTTAATCACATGTTAAAATACTATCATTATGTTAATTGAGCTTTTAATATAATTGATTTACCTTTTTAAAAGAAAAACAAAAATATTAATAAAGTAAAATAATGTGAACATCACTTTTTTTCCTCAAAAGCAAACAAGAAACCTTCTTTAGTGACCAACGGTAATTAATAAATGTGAGATAAAGTGAACACAATGTTTTCTTCAAAAAACAAACAAGAACCCTTATTTTGTAACCGAAGCAAAAGGGAAGCAAGAAATCTTGTGGGACAAAGATATTGAACAAAAACAATGTATCGTACCTGTATGGATGCATGCATCATTGTAATCCTCCGTACCAAAATGTAGGGTAGAGTTTACTTTTCTTAGTGGTCTCAAAATCAAAATTGACACTTTTCAACTTTCCCTATTAGATAATGAATATGTGACTTGTAATTCTTTTTCTTAACGAGTTTCAAATTTCAATCACGCGGCTTTTAACTTTTGACGCTTTTTTAAACCCCCCGTGAAAGTGAAATCAAAGTGTAAACTTCATTTGCAGACAGTATTTACTATGGTGTACTTAGTATCCAAATATTAAGCAGATGACTGTGTAGTGGTCAAGGAACAGAGCTCAATGTAATAAATGGGAATATGCTTGGGAGTGATAAGGGCAAAACAGGGCAATGTCACTTACATTTTCGGCCTCATAGTCGCCCTTACCAATTAACATTCCCTTCCAAAGAGCAAAGAAGGCAAAGAGGTTAGTTGTACTAGCCACCAATCACTTGTTTGGATATTAATAGATTTCATTATTTGAAAAATGCCACTTATGCACTCACCATATTATTATATACAGAGTGCACCCATATCAGGTAGTTCAGCACATTGATGATTAGAACCTGCAGCGACATTCACATTCTTGCCCTTCTTTCCTTGCCTTTTGTCTTTCTGCCCTTTTTTTCCATTATCAGCCGTTTGGTTGCTGAATAGAGATGTACTTGTACTGATTACTACCATGAGAATAAGAAAATAATAACGGTGTAACTCAGAAGACACTAATGGACCCGTTCGGTAAGCCAAACTATATCAGATTATCCAGCCAAATTATCTACCAAACACCCACCAGCTTAAATGAGTGCCCTTAGTGAATTGGTTAACTTGTTGTTTGATGAGGGAAACATAGGACTCCTTCCGTCCCACTAAGTTTGGGACAAGGGAAAGTGGTACACAAATTTAGATAAAGTACAAATAATTTTGAAGCAGACAAAAATGACAAATAATGCATGGGACAAACATAGTGGGAAAGAGTATATTATTTATTATGTTGGATGAAAAGAGGCCAAATAATACTTCTGCCATCATTTTTGCATGTATATTTCCTTATCAAAATCTAACCAAAGCATTCATTAGTTTTAAAAACCAGCCACAATTTCAGAAAATGAAGCCAAATTTTACCCACACCAAATGTGCTCTATATATTTTGCTTAAGTAAGCTAAGAAATAATTTTCATCTAAGCATTCTAGAGGCTGGAAGCTTGTAGATAATTTTACCAGGACAAGTGAAGAATAACTTATTTGCGAGTTATATTCAATAATAATCAGCATTCATTATTATTAACACCTTGATCCCAACTAGTTTGGGTATGTGGCATGAAATTTAGTGCCAATTAACTGTACAGGATAATTACCGCTATAAATTCATGTGAAAAGCAGTAGTGGCAATGTTTTACGTAGGATGTCCTTTCTCTCACAACTTTCATAAGACGGAATAATTATATAGGAAACATCAGTATTAACTAGCTTACGTAATCAATTTGGCATAAGACTTTCCAGCAGCAGAACCACAACATGACTTGTATTTCTTCTTTGAACCACATGGGCAGGCCTTGTTTGGTGGAGTTATCTATACCATCAAGAATCATGAAAAATATAAATGTAGGCAAAATTTAC